CTAAAGCCCTAAACCCTACAACCTTAACCCTAAACCCTAAGACCCTAAGACCCTAAAGCGCTAAGGCTTTTAAAGCCCTAAAGAGAGGCGAGAACCATCTAAACCCTAAGGCCTTGCAGCCCCAAGTTAGGCCCTAAAGCCCCGCCGGATGAAACCCCGCAAGCCTAGACCCTAAACCCTAAACTTTTGGGGGTGGGGATTCGGGCTTTCGGATTCTGAGCTTTCGTGGGGAGGATTTTATTCAACCAAACCCATTGCGAGCAGAAGCATCAGAAACCCTTTGTCGAACCCCACTTGAAGCGAAGATTTGAACACATCCGATTGGACGAGATTGGATGTGAGGGCCGCCCCCCCTTGAAGAGGGAGTTGGCTTGGGCGCCATGCCGCGCTGGTGGACCCTAAACCCTATAAACCCTAAACCCTAGACCCTAATCCGTAAACCCTAGACCCTGAATCCTAAATCCTAAACCATAATTCCCAACAGCCCTTGGGACCCAGACCTGGAGGCCCGACTTTCTTGGAAGGTCTCGGAGCTCTTTGGTTTCAGGTTTAGGTTCATGTTGCCAAACAATCGGTTAGGGTTCACAGGAGTTTAGGGTCTAGGGGTCAGGGTCCGTGGGATTTTAGGGGGCGGGGTAAGGTGTTTCAGATGTTTGTCAGGTTCCTGTTCATCGGAGTACTTGGGGGTTTGGGTCTGGGGTTTGGGGTCTAGTTAGGCTGGGGTTCAAAAGAGTTGAGTGTAGAAGGTTTACAGGGCTTTATTTGGGGTTTAGAGGAGTTCGGGGGTTGAATCCACGAGCCTGGTTTAGGAAACCTTGCGGGTGCTTCTTGGGGTGCTTTACATAGGACGGTGTCTTGATCAGGCTCCTATCATTACCTGTGGCCCAAGAGACTTGCATGTTCATTAGGAGCTGTATATCGATGTGTATTTCTATATATATATATACAGATAGATAGGTAGATAGATAGATAGAGAGAGAGAGAGAGAGAGTCTTAGAAGCCATAATAAGGATCCCAAGAAAGGTACCTCTTTTCGGCTACGAAAGGGTAGGGCTTGGCGGAGATTTCCCGCTGCTTCCGGCCCGAGGCTCATCACAAAGCCGGTCCTCCTGGCGCGAGATGTGGCGCTTCAGGCCAGGAGTTTGAAGTTGCTTAGTAGCCAAGAATTACTACAACGGTTTAGGGTTTAGGGTTTAAGGTTACTACACTCTACAATTTTTTTTGGGGATGGTATGATCCCCTTGTGGAACTGAAAGTGTAGACTTTTTTTGGTGCTTATTCAGGGTTAGGGTTTAGGGTTTGGGGGTCTGCAAGAGTGCATGAGGCTGAATTCAGGTTCATACTCGGCTTGTCGTTCTCCTACGAGGTGTACTTCATACGCCTGAATAGGTGGTTGGTAGAGCTATTCCGGTGGGGTCCTTCCTTTATACTTGCACAGTCTAAAAGATGCCAATGCTCTATTCCAACACATTTCTGGCTCCTTAAACCTTGGAGTTGTGGGATTCGGAGGGTTCGGTACTTTGGTTTTGGGGTTTTAGGACTCAATTCAGATGTTGTAGGATATTAGGAGATCTTTTAGGTCTTGGGTTGCTAGGGCTTTAAGGTATAGGGTTCGGGGTTTGAACACCGGCAGCTTTCAGACCAGAGCGCTCAGAAGGCCTGGCTTGTCCTTGTCTCTCTGGTTCTTAGTAGGGAATGGGGGAATGGATCCCTATGACAGTCCCTTAAGGTCCCCTATAGTAGTCCCAAAAAACCCATTCCTCCATTCCCTACTAAGAACCAGTCAGTTGTTCGCCTGGTTCTTCGTGAAGAGATCCGCGCCCATGCTGGCAAACCTAACTGACAAGGGCAACACGTGGCCGTGCGATTTGCCCCAAGCTCTAAGTTCTAAGCCCTTGTCCTTAACCCCCAACGTCAAAGACCCGTATCCCCAAGCCATGATCCTTAATTCCCAAAACCTAAGCCCTAAACCCAGAGAGGGTGATTGGGGTTTGGGGATTTTAGGGTTCTGGGAGAGGGCATCGGGAGTCTCAGGCGTTCAGGAAGACCCAGCAGAAAATCCACGGTTTAGGGTTTAGGGTCTATAATGGTGGGGGAGCCCTGAGGTAGAACCATCAGTGGTAGGATCCTTCTGGCAAGGATTCCTGCTAAACCCCAAGCCTTGGTTTCTGGGACGCTGGTCCCGTAAATTAAGGCGTTTAGTAGCGACATCCAGCGATCCAGCCATCCAGCCATCCATGCATGCATGCATGCAGGCATGCATGCATACATATACATACTACAAAGGCTACATGAAAATATACATATTGATGCAGAACTATACTGCTGATACAAAGGATGTAACATTATATCTGTATTGGCTTGTTTTTGTGCGTGTATGTTTGTTGCTTTTCGACTATATGGTGGCAGGCTGGAGGATTTAAAAGGCCTCTGAGGACTTAAGGAAGTAACTCCCAGTGCATTTGGAGGTGTACGCGGCGTCAATGCAGCATGCAGCTGGGACAAGAAGGTTTTTACCGCCGGCTTATGTAGGGTTTACTTATCGTAGCCCCGAATAGAGCTCTTTGATGGAACCCCAAACCCAAATATAGTAGCCCTTAAAGGGTCCCGATGGTTTGGGGCTTTAAGTTGAGGGTTTTGGGTAAGGTTTATGGATTTCCAGCCAAAGCCGCTCAACACCCCGGACCCCCACGGCCAACAACGCACCAAATAGGCATACTCTGGATTGCCGATTTGGGGTTGGGGGTGGTGCGGACGGCGGCTTTCTTTGAGGTCTTGGAATCTCGGACGTTTGGGTGTGAGGATCATGCCCCGAACATGAGTTGCAGTTTAAGATTGGAAAGTTGAGGCTTTTGGTGTTTCAGTTGCTGGCCAAGATCAGGAAGTCGCACTATCCCCTGAGCGTGCAGTATTGCAACCATGTCTTGAAAATGCCCTAAAACCTCAACTTGAATGGAGCCTGAGCTGTTCAGGGCTCCATGGGGTGTTGGGGTTTGGGGATTTAGGATTGTCGGCTTAGGGCCTTTAGGGTTGAGGGCTTGGGGCCTTTAGCGTTAAGGCTGTAGGGCTTTAGGGTTGAGTGTTTAGGGCCTTCAGGGTTGAGGGTTTACGGGTCAGGCTCTTAGGAAGTTCTTAGCAACGAGCTCCCCATCCCCGCCGGTCAAAATCGTTTGAGCCATTCTGGACCGGCGTGTTTCGAGGCCGTGTCGATGATGGTGCGTAGCCGCCGTCAAGGAATCAAGCTCGGCGTGGTGCGACTGGACCGTGGTTTGGGGTTTCAGGGCCCTAAAATGGTGTGGAAGGAAAGTGCAGAAACCCTATACCCTGAACCCTGAACCCTAAACCCAAAGTCCTGAACCCTAAACCCTGAAACCTAAACCTTAAACCTAAACCCTGAATCCTAAACCCAAAACCCTAAATGCTAAACACTCTTTATCATCTGTATTTACACCTTAATTCATTTGTGAGAATCGCTCACTCTCGGGCCACTCCGTTCGTGAGAATTGCTCACTGTTGAGCAGTTCTCGCGAATCTCCAGTGAATTTTCGGCGAAAATTTCAGTCTGTTTGTGAGAATTGCTCACTCTTGAGCAATTTTCACGAATCTCCAGCGATTTTTCAACGAAAGTTTCATTCTGTTTGTGAGAATTGCTCACGTTTGAGCATTTTTCTGTGATATGCAGTAGTGCAACATGAAGTCATTTAAAGGTGAAGAGAGTCCAACTGTAAATGGAACTCGTGGTGTAAATGAACAAACTTGTGTATTTTCCAATGTTATGGGATTCAGGGGTGGGTGGGTGTTATGTCTAAGCCATGAACTAACTATAACCTATACTACAAAACTGCTCGATCCGGAGCTGCTGCACCTTAAACCCTGAACCCTAAACCCTAAAACCTGGTCATGAGCCCGAACATACCGTTTCAGGGTCCGGGCCTTCCGGCAGGGCCAGAGGGGCGCACCTTACCGGGAGAGCCCAAGGCCATATATCCGAAATCTACCCGTGAAGTCTAGAGGGCTTCTTAACGTGATTTTAGATCTGAGGTTTAGGGTTTAGGGTCTAGAGTTTAGGGTTTAGAGTTTAGGGTTTAGAGTTCAGGTTTAGGGTTGAGAGTTTATGGTTTTCAGGGGTTTAAAGCATTCTAGGATTAGGATTGAGGGTCTAGAGTTTAGGATTGAGGGTTTAGAGTTTAGGGTTTAGGGTTTAGGGTTCGCGATTCAAAACATATCCCAATCCTTTACATCAGGAATCCACTTCAACCTGTGGAGCGAAAGAGGTCCTTAGCATGATTGAAGACATGGGTAGTTCTCTAAATTAGGTTCCCCTTTTGGGGTCCCCAATATAGTACGGCACCCTTATAAAAAGGACCCTAAACGGGACCCTAATTTAGGGTAGTAGGCCCAATGGATCAACTTGGTCAGGACTACCACTACGAACCAGCTCCGGGTGATGTGGATCATCCAGGTGCCCGGCCAGGACTTTTGCCACATGGGGCTTTTCCCTGTGAAAAGCCAAAATCTTAAGCCCCCTGAGCCTAAATCTAACACCTAAACCGCGCAAAACTCGAAGTTGGCAGTGTCTGTGCAGTGGGGTCTCTGTTTCGGTGGCATTTTGGCTTTTGGGTGGGGGTCTTTATTAATCCTACACTACTACGTAGGGTTCCTGATTAGTTTTGTAGCATCATATACCCCAAGACGGTTTCGATCTAGTCCGTTCTTTCCCGTTCCAGGCAGCTACGCCTACGAAGTGCACTACCAGATGGTTCCGGGACTTACTTTCGAACTCTGCCAGTCGGGAAAGATGACCCAAGAGGTAGAGGCCGGCAGGTATAGTTTTTTTTTAAGGGTTTAGGGGGGTTTAAGGGGTGTGTTTGGGGGGGGGGTGGTAGGGCCTTGAGCGCTGGGTTTAAATCGACTTCTTAAAGGATTATCTTGGGCTTCGTAGTTAGTTGTGCTTCCTACACGTTTTTAATGGTGTTTTGCGGGCTTGTAAGTGCAAGGTGCAGAGAGTTTGGGCCTTTTGGGGCATAAGCTTCGGGTTGTTGTGGGTTTGGGATGGATTCGCAGAGGCACTTTGGAGGCCCCAGCTCTTCGAGACGCCAAAGCCCCCAAAAGCCGGAGTTCAGTAGATAAATCCGCTCAATTAGAGGAAGGCTTCAGGAGAGCCCCACCAAAATCCCTCCTCTGATCCGTTGTGTTCTCTTAGTGTCGTAGAGGAATCCTATTTTTAAACTTCATAGTACCCTTTATAAAGTAATCCATTGACTGCAGGAACCCCCTTAAACCCTAAATCCTAAACCCTAAACCCTAAACCCCTAAACCCCTAAACCCCCAAACCCCTAAACCCTAAACTCTAAACCCTTGCAGGGTACGGGCTCATCCTAGCAAGGTGGGAGGCAAAAAACCCTAAACCACTAAACCCCTAAACCCCGAAACCCTAAGCCCTTTTAAAGCCACCAGGTGGAGCTCCTGAAGGCTATCGGAGCCCTGGAGTCCAAGGGCGTCTCCGTCATCACCGGGGACTGCGGTTTCATGCGCCTCGGGGTCCTTTAATGAAGGCGATCCTTTACGGGTTGAAAGATGATTTTTTGGGTTCCTTTATTTTTGGCTCGGGTTCCTTCAAGGCGATCCTTTACGGGTTCTATGACTTTATATGGGGTTCGGGGTTTAGGGCCGTATGTATAGACCTCAGGCTTTGGGCGTGCAGCCTCACCGAGACCTAAGGATGTGGTACCAGGAGCTTGTCCGGACAAGCACCCGCTTGCCGGTCATCATGTCCTCTCTTGCCACCTTGCCCGCCATCACGCGCCTTGGGTTGTTTACAGATGGGTAATTCTGTAGATTAACGTCCCTTGTTGGGTCCCCGAAGTAGTACGGCACCTTATAAATGACCCTGAAACGGACCTGAATTTTAGAGAGCTACACAGATACCGCTAGGATGCCTCTGGGGAGTCCATGCGGCCTTTTGGACCTAGGGCTTACGCTGCGAATTCTACTTTCGCGATTTTTCTGTCCGACTTCGAGTAAGCTACTCTTCATATCGGGCCGTGTCAGGTAGATGGTTGTCCAGGGGATTGCTTCGTCCTTTGTTGAAGCAGCACATGGCTGGTTCCTTCTTCGCAGGTCTCTGGTCAAGGGAGAAAGCAACAAACAACGAGGCATGCTGATAGAAAATGGGGATTTAAATCAACCTAGGCTATGCACACCGCTTAACCCTAAACCCCTAAACCCCGAAACTATGAACCCGAACCCCCTAAAGCGCTTACAGCAAAAACTAAACCCTGCCTAGCACCGTTGTGGCCCTTTAAAGGAACCCTGGGCGCTGGCTTTTTCAGGGCTTTAGGGTTTTGGCCTTAGGCTTTAAGGAAAACCCAAGGAGGGTTTGGGGTGTAGGGGAAGCCATCGAGTCCAGGATTCCGGGCTAGAGAGAAGCATAAGGGTTTAGGGTTCAGGGTTCAGGGTTTAGGGCTTTGGGTTCAGGGTTTAGGGTTAGGGTTCAGGGTTTAGGGTTTAGGGCTCACGGTTCAGGGTTTAGGGTTTAGGGTTTGGCTGTTGAAAGTGTAGCGAAAGCATTAGGGTTTCGTTTAGAGTCATCAAACCCTCAACCCAAAACGTCAAACCTTTAAACCCTCACGTCCGAGTCGCGAGAGTCCAACCCTTCAACCCCCTCAACCCTAAACCCCAACCCAAGCCCTAAACCCTTAAACCCTAAAGCTATTTCGGGGTCTCTGTCAGGCTTCAGCCTGAGGGTTTAGGGTTTAGGGTAGAAGCGTGAAAAATGTCCGAGATATTCACCAGAACATGCTCCAAAATAGAGTTCTTATCATTAAGGCAGATCAGTACTTGTGTCGTGCAACATCCCCGGACCGTGCTGGATGGCCTTGTGCCCGGACATCCAGCCTCAAGCACCACATACGCAACACGATCCCGGCAAAAAGGAGCTCCTTCCACAAGGGCGAACAGATTGCGATGCTTGGCCGTTCTTTTTCCACGTTCTGCACCATGTAGCGGTTTTCGCAGACACACACCCTCAGGCGGCACTTGACCACTAAACACTATCAGAACTTGGGGCGTCATGCAGCATAGGGGCCCGATTAATTTCAGATGGGCCTGGTGGTCTGCTGGTTAGAGTCGGTGACAGTAAGTTTCATGAGAGAATTTTCCTACGAATTCTTCAGATCCTTACAGTATAATCCATATTTATCATTCATCAAGGATCACAAGCGGAAGAGCGTTTCAAGGTTTTGATGCTGAATCCGGTGTCTAGGCTTTGCATCCCGTCTGTGAGACAAGCTGAATAAGAACCCGCTACAAATTCAAATTCGAGCACCCGAAAAACCATGGACGAACCCTACATGGATAGTTCTCTGAATAAGGGACCCGGTTTAGGAGCAAAACAAGGCCGCACCCTTTTCTAAAAATGCACTACCCAAATAGTCCTTAAACGCCCCCTGAACCCTAAACCCTAAACCTTAAACCCTAAACCCTGCCCCCTCAACCCAAGGATCTTCACTGCGAATGGCAAGTCCCTGCTGCCCATGGAAGAGCTGATCAAGGCTGAATGTGCAGTGGATCTCAAGGCCAGAGCACCCAATACCACTTGACTAAGGAATGTTCCTTAAATTATAGGGGCCCTAATATTATGATTTAGGGTATACTCCTTAATCAAGGCACCCCCAGGGAGGAGTTTAGGGTTTAGGGGTTAGGGTTCAGGGTTTAGGGGATGGAGGGAGCGTGCTTTCCGGTTTGGAGTTTAGGGACTTGAACGTTAAACCTTACACCCTAAACTCCCAAACCCCTAAATCACTAAACCCTCAACGCCTTACACCCCTAAACCCCAAACCCCCAAAGCCCCAAAACCCCTAGGACCCTAAACGCTATTTAAACCCCTAAAGGCTTCAAAAGTTTTTGGGTTTCAGACTTCGGTGCTTCCAAAAACGGGCCCTGGTTTAAGTCGTGCTCTAGGTTAAACCCTACCTCTGACCTCTAGAACTGAGCACTTTTTGGAAAAGAATTAAATAGAAACAATAATAAGGAACCCTACAGAGGGTAGATGTTTTTGGGACGGGTATTTTTTGAGCCTTAGATCCCGAAAGCCCTAAATTGCCTGGGCCCTTTAGCCCCTCGCCTGCCCAACTGGAAGTACTATAGGGGCCTTCATAATTGCCTACCTTGTTTTCGGGGCTCCTTGCTGTAATTATATAACATGATGCGCCCCAAAACCGATATTATCCCTGTGCTTGACTTTAGTGCCGGGTTTCTCCTGACTGGGTGTTCCGGGTTTGAGTCCAGTCGTAGTTCTGTGGCTGGAGATGCCCTAAACCCTAAACCCGCAACCCTAAACCATGCGCCTGGGAGAGTCAAACTAAATCCCTGCACACTTCCGCAAGATGACAACATTTAAAGGTGCCCCCAAACCACCCAAACTCAACCTCTGGGTCCAAACCTAATATAGGGGCATTTTGGGGCTCCTTATGACATTTTTAGTAGAATCTACCCCAAAACCCTAGTCTAATTATCAAGGCCCCTATATTATTCCCTAGACAAACCTTATTCAGCCTTAGAGGAATCCCCGAAAGGATCCCTTCAACGGAACCCGTCATGAGCCAGAGGACGAGCGCTATGTCTTCGTGGGCTGCGAGGACATCCCTGGATTTGAGGCGGTGGCCTTGGGCGAAAAGGTGCGCTCGCCCGACCTTCCTGGGCTTCTTCTCCGGGTTTTTTCAGGAGTTTGTTTAAAGGTTGACAAGTGTAGGGTTTTTTTTTTCAGGGGCTTGCTTAAAGGTTATGTCATACAAGGATTTGTGTAAGGTAGCAGGCTTAGTTGTAACTTCTTGTTCTTAGATGTAACTTTTTTCTCTTAGATGTAACTTTTTCCTGTTTCCTACACTGACCCCACCGACCCCACGTACCCCGCCCAGCCCACCTGCCACCTGCCCCACGTACCCCCACTACCCCGCCTACCGCACCCAGCCCCAACCAACGCGGCACGCGCGTGGCCCAAGACGAACACCCTAAAGCCTGAAGAGTGAATTCCCAAGACGAAGACCCTAAGGAGTGAATCCAGCAGGAATTTTTCCTCGAAGACAAAAGCCCGAAGGAGTGCATCCAGCAGGGACCCTTGACTGAAGACGAAAACCGTAAGGAGTGAATCCAGCAGGAAGCTTCAACCCAAGGCGAAAACCCTAAGGAGTGAATATCCAAGACGAAAACACTAAGGAGTGAATTCCGAAGGCGAAATCCCTTCGGAGTGAAAAAGGGGAAGAGTTACATCTAAGATAAAAAAAAGTTACAACTAAGATTCCTGTTTTGCTTTTGCAACCTTCTGCAGAGATTTGCTGTGTTCGGAGCCACGAAAAAGTTACAACTAAGTGGTTTTACTCAAAAAGCTGAAAAGCGCTCTACCTTCGTGTAATGAACGTTTCAGGAGTGTTTTTGTTCTTTTTACGTGAATTTTGTGGGTGTTTAACTCGCCAAGGAAGATGCGATCATTCTTACGAGGCTGCAAAAGGGTTTTCCATGTATCCTATTGGGACAATGAGGAGTTTATGCGGGACGTCGTATGGGGTTTCAGGAATCCTAACCCCGACCCTGGAGTGGAAATCATGAACCCTAAGCCCCTAGCACCAAACCTTGAACCCTTTGAGGCGTAAGCCCTGAGCGTGAAAACCCCAAAGCCCTGGGCTGGCAAGAAGCCAGGTGGACGTGCGCAAAGTGACGCCGGGGATGGTGAAGAAAGCACAGGACGTTCTCCGAGATCATCCGAAGGACACTACCTTAGAGACTGCTGTTCATTGAAACTGTTACGGGTACTTGGCTAGGGGGCCATGAACGTAAGGGTGCTTCTGCTAGTGTTTCTGAAACTCTCGTAGTGTGGCAGAAGATCGGACGTCATGACGGGATTTGCGCTTTCGCCTGGTTTCGGGGCTGATCTATTGCAGCTGTACGTATCCTTGCTCGCTAAGAGAAACTTTGTGGTGGCCTCAATAGGGCATATAACTACCCAAGTAAATAAACAAACAAGTTAAACATAGTTTGATAAGTAAGTATGACTGAATATATATATATATATATATATTTTTTTCTATATCTATATATATATATGTACACATTGATATCTATCTATCTATCTATCTATCTATCTATCTATCTATCTATCTATCTATATATATATGCGCTCATACTTATATACATACATGTGTATATGTATCACTTCATTGCAACACAGAGAGAACCCTTGAAGCCCGTAGATTTTTGCATCCGAGAGTGTGCCCAAGGTGAGAGCTTTCCTGATGGAATGCACTGAGCTTCCACCGTATTCCGATGCCGTGCGGCATGCAACTGGCCTTCCTGCCACTTGGCTTGACTTGGCTTGCCCCCCCCCCCCCCCAAGCCCTAAACCCTAAACTATAAATCCTAAACCGTGATCTTATCGCACGAAGAGTGCAAGAACGACGAGTACGAGACCATTTCCCGAAACCCTCAGCTTGAAGCCCAGCCCGAACAACCTAAACCCTGAACCCTCAACTTGAAGCCGCCCCAACAACCAGCAGCAAAGCACGAATAAATTTAAAATGCAACTCGTATAATTATACGAACTAGTATGATCATCGGCCTGAGATGTTGAAAGGTCTTCGATGCGATCACAGCCTGCGACTTCTACATCTCCAGCCACCTCGACAACGTGAAGATGGCGGTTGATCTCTCAAACCCCTTCTGGCTCGTTTGAGTTTGAAACTGAGCCTTCATCTCTACGGGAGCTTGAACCTCCCAGTGCTCGGAGTTCAGATAGCAGGGTACAAGGGGTTTAGGGTTTAGGGTGGAAGGGGGGGGGGAAGCCGGCAACTACACGACAGTCCTTTTCAACGCCTGGGCTCGATTCCGGCCACATGTGCCATGAGGGCCCGCAAGGCAGAGCATATTTGAAGATGTGCGGTGCTCGGAAGATGTGTGTGTTTGACGTAGCTTCTGCAAGCACGGGTGAACCGCTTAGGGTAAGATGGGTTAAGATTTGAAGATTCCTGTGCCCCTGTTGCCATTATCGATTGAGCGGCCTGTTCGTTCCAAGGGACTCAGGACGAAACCCGAAGTGTTCAAAAAGCCGATGGTGAGTAGTCACATCTTCGAGACTGCCGCTGCGCTGGTTTTAAGCCTTGTGCCAAAGTGCAAAGATGGACGCTAGAAGAAAGCACTGGGAGCGACAAGCGCTAGAAGGTACGTTGAGCCGGTTCTTTTTCGGCAACGAAGTAGTGCATTGCCCTGGTGTTTTTTGACCGTAAACCCTAAACCCTAAAACCCTAAACCCTAAGTGGCCTTCAATCGTCCGCAAACTTCTCTTGACGAAGCACATAGACGGTTGGCATCGCTGCGAGCACCTCAAGGCTGCAGCATCCTAAATGGTTTAGGGGTTTAGGGGTTTAGAGTTTAGGGGTTTAGGGGTTTAGGGTCTAGGGTTCAGGGTTTAATATAATGCCTTTTTCATAGGTATTTGAGGGTGCCTCATTCGGGGGTCAAGTGTTGTCTCAGCCAGGGGAATTGTAACGACTTCACGCTTAAGGAGCGATATGGGGTTAGCATTGGTCCCCTGTATCGCTCACAGCATCTTCGCTCAGCCGCAGCGCTTGATGCTCAGGCCCATCGTGCGTGCAGTTCACGCATGAACATTTGTATCATGTCGGGGGAAGTAAGTATTACTACGTATTGCAAACTAAGAAATTTGTAGATACCTAAACCCTAAGCCCTAAACCCAAACGAAGTAACTAAGGCATGCGTAGATACCTCAGAGATTTCGCGGGCCCTGGCCAAAAAGCTTCAGATGGAATGTCCGGCCGGATCTGGAGTAGACAAGCCTGCTACATGCAAGAACTTTACATACCTTGTCGTAATACATGATACGATCGTTTAGCAGATGAACTTGTATTCTTTGATCTCAGCTTAAGTTGTACTAAGCTCACAGCTGAGCCTCTACACCCAAAGCCCGAGTTCACAACGAATGGCAGCAGTCGTCATCGGGATTTTATTCAGAAAATGATATTAGATGGAATATCGTGAATATACTCGGGGTTCAATCTATCGAACTATACACTGGGGAATGGAAATCACATGTTTAATGTCAATGTAGCTAGCAGTCTATGCATGAATGTATGATGTCAGTTTCCCTGATCGCAGTAACGTGACCAATAATGATCAGTGTAAAATCATTACATGTTCGGTTCACTTGTTGGAAAGACTGCTAAATGCACTATATTATTGTCATATTTAAGTTGGATTTGACCTTAGTTAAGAAACACTCCGCCTAAAGACGGGGCTCTGCATCTTGTGGCATACATTTTCAGCTGAGTTGGGATTGCTGTTCCTGGGCAGGTACTCTTCCTGAGCAAACCGCCCAACTGTGTGACCCCACACCGGCAGTCGCGTCAAGCAACCCTCAACTCCACGTT